CAGGTTATAATTATCCTGATGCTTCCTAAAATTCGTGTGCATCATATTTTCTCTAATTCCGTCTTAGATTGTTTGTTTCTCATTAAATCCCCCAAATATACGTGTAGATGAAAAATTAATATTAAAGATGAGAGTAGAAATATTTGTTATGAAATTGTGAATTTGATTTTAATGTTTCAGGATGGACTTCAGTTGTGGAGTGTGCAGCGATGAATCTTCAGAATCCTTAAAGGTAGGGAGCCCCTGCGTAAATGTTTTAGCCTCTATCAGTGGAAGAATTTTGACATTTATACTAATTTAGTGACATCCTCCACAAGAATTTGTCGCTGTACTTTGAAATATGTAACCTGGTCATCTGGTACAACGTTAGTAATTATATGTTTATGCAAAACTTTATGTGAGCGAACACAAAATGGAAATATGTGACTAGCGTTTGAAGCCATCGGCTTTAATTCCTGAAGATTATGTGACGATACGTTGTTAGGTATTTTGTACATATTTTTAATGATTATTAGTGGTTCGCTTGTTTGTTCTGTTCTCTTTAAATTCGTTATTTTTCTGTGAGGATTATGTGAGTCTGTATATTTTCTGATTTTTAGAATTATACTAACTTTCACCGTTGCCATATTTTTAGTCTCTTGAAAGAACGAGGAAACATCTGTGTGGAATTATTTACGTTATTTGTACATGATCATAAAATGAAATTATAATGGTGATGAGCTGTCTAATCCGAGAACCACTGTTGAGTTTTACTCTCGTATACGTTCTTTGTATTTATTTGCTTCGTGTATACCCCCTGCAAACAGCTCTCGTAATAGAGCCGTCAGGTGGCGCCTCATTCAGCATTCCGGTGAACTAGTGCAACTTACGAGGAGCGGAAACATACTTCAGTATTCTCTTAATCAAATTGATGTCCCTCAGCTTGTTTCTACTTCCTGAACTGTCCACCACGCATCTAATGCAACAGATGCACCTCATAGGAGTGAAAGTTATATCTATTTAATGACTTTTTTGCTAATTTTCTTACATTCTTTCTTAGGCAAGTGGCATGATACCTACTTCATGCCGATTTCTTTCTTGGTTTTCCTTTCAACTCCTGAAAATGCAGGCGATATTTTCGTCCGAAACAACAGTTGTCATTTAGCGGACTATATTATCCATAAACATCGTTCCTACGTTCATATTCTGTCTTACGAGATATCAGCAGTCAGTTTTAATGTAATGATAATGCCCTTATTCGGAGGGGATCCGTGGTTTGAATCTCGAGAGGGACATCGTCGATCCTAAGTGAGGTTTCTCGTAGTTTTTGTCCGTCTTCACAGGTGTATGCTGTGATAGTACTTCTTATAGGTTACGACAGCTTCATTTAAATCCGTTTTGAGCTCATCCTCTATTCACGATACTGCCATTCGAAGCGACATAAACTAGATATTGACAGCCTCGTAAAGATAACGTACAGAAAATATACCAAAACGTTGTTTTATTCTCTTTTTCCGTTAATTGTTTGTCCAGCCATCAGCATTGTAGAAATCCAGAAATTTGTGTCTTCCTAAATAACCTGTAATATAATAACTTGGTAATTACACTGTATGTAAACATTTCGTTAGTGAAATCACTCCACTTTTGTGGAATGTAACACCGCTTGTTGGACTGTGTTCAGTGTCCCTCTTTATACAGTGTCCATAAATTCCGGTGATATTTTGTTATTGTACAGATCATGGTTTTATTTTTCGATATGTTTGTGACTCGGAAATTCTCTTTCGACCTTGAGGCTTATATAAATTTCTATATGCGATTCCTTACAGTTGACCCTGCCACACATTCTTGCATTATCATCGGCGTCTCTCAAAACGATAAATTCTAATTCAGCCTATTAAAATATCGAAGTTGTGATAATATGCTTCATGTTACGGGCGACCAAACTTCTCAGAAGGGAGTAATAGGCGAATATGAAGCAATGGTAGACTGATGATTAGCGAAGGAAAACCGAACTTACTTTGAGAGAATATTGAATTTCAGTGACTTCTGAATTCTACAAGTTATTCAGTTTCTTCTTCTTCTTCTTTATTCTTGATTTGTTCTTCGACCCTAAAGATGGAGGCGAAATTTCCTTCCGAAACTTCAGGTTATAGCCCCTAATTTGCTTGAGGGCCTGAGGTTTAAGAAAAATCTTTGTCAGGTTAAACCAGTCTCGGTCAGAGTTTTAACTTTGGGCTCCCCAGCACCAAGAGGACCGAGAAGATCGATTAGGACATGGCTATCTCTACGGTCTGTCATTGGGCTCCTAGAATTTCTTACTTGGAAGTCGAAATTCCTTAAAATTCGGCTAATAATATTACTATTTCAACAAAAATTATTAATAATGAACTAATAAAGCGCGACATTTGTGTTTTTCTAGATAAACTTTATTTATGTGCAGTATCCGCGTCTTTAAGTGCGAGAGAAAATGAGATAGACATTACGATAAGGAAATTCAAAGCGACGCCAAGCCCGCCTCCAAACGCCTGTGGTAAGATTTGCTCTGCTCCTAATACGGAAACATTAGGACAACCAGCTAGGGTTTTAGAGGACAGAAATTTGTAATTACGAGGTTCTTCTAATGTCATTTGTTCCTGCAGAGATCTTCTAATTTCGGATAAAATTTTGTTGTTGCGTGGTGATGAGACCGTTCCGTAGGCAGAAGCAGATCTGCGCTGTGTCTCAACTGTTTGCTGCTTATCGTTATGTGTGGCTTCATATTGCCAGAGTGCCTATCCCTAAAAGTTACATTTTCCTGACTTCAAGATAACTATAATAGTTCCCCCACAATTTTCTTAGCGATATAAAAACTAAGAATACAGAAACGCAACTTATGCTGTCATTTTTTGTTGAAATTCTCACCAAAATTGGTTACGTTCTAGAAAATAGACAAAAAGTAACTTAACATAGAAGAATAATTTGTTTAAGTGGATGAGTGTATAAAAGAATATAAGGTATGCCGTATACACAACAATATTCTGTATTTAAAAA